CGTACATCCCCCGGTGCCGCGGACGCACTGTCAGACATCGCACTGCGTGCGGGAGACGAAGTTGGGCTCTGCCCATGTTCGCGGTCAGAACCAGCAGGACTTGGTGACTTCCGTGTCGTTGACACAGGGCTCATTGAGCAAGGAAGTCGTTTTTATCCAACGACTTAAGTTGCAGCGTCTAGCGGACACGCGAGCCTCGTTGAGGCAACAATCGATTCGAACTGTAAATGTTCTCAATCTTTATGGGTAGGGTGTTACGGGGTTTTACGTACCCTGGTAACAGGGGGTGTTTGTCACACGAGATGTGCATAGTGTGACTGCACTCAAACAAGAATACGGTATGTGGCTTGGTAGCCAGTAGTTATGCATGTATTCAGATTGTACTATATATTTAGTAAAATCTATACATGTAAAATTAGGCGGTTTAGCCGGAGATAAAAGCAAATATAAATCAGTTTTGAATTTAAACCGAAGAATTTAACAGCCTTGGTTAAGGTAGTAGGTACACTTGGAGTTAGCGGATTGCGATCCACTACACTCGTATTGGTTCTTGAAGAGAACGAAAGGTCGGTGACATAAATTACGCTTTCTCATGCGCTAAGCTACGGCAGCTGGTCATATGTAAAGCTACAGGTCGACAAATCAACCTAATCTTTGGCAAACACCCTCATAAGGCTCATAACCGCGAGCAGCCTTTCACAGAGAACCTGAATTGAAACGGGGTTACACGTACCCTTGTTTACAAAGGTATGGGTTACACAAGTTGATGTTATCACTCAACAGTGCGGCTACACCGTAACAAGAAGCCGTTACGTGGCAGGACTACCAGTAGTTATGCATATTAATTAGGTTTTAGTTATTAATTAGGAAAATCTAAGGTTTTGGATAAAGGCGGCTTTGCCGAAAAATTAAACAATTGAATCCAATTTCAATTTTAAACGGAAGAGCGTCTTTACCTTGGTTAAGGTTTTAAGTTTTCTTAGTGGTAGCGGATTGCGATCCGCTACTTTCGTACTGGTTCTTGTACAGAACGTAAGTTTGGTGACCTTAGTTTAGCTTCCTCAAAGCAAAGAGCTACGGCAGCCCTTATGCATGAATACTTCGCTACGCTTCTCAAACTATGTGTCATATCGCGACGCGCGGCATTTTGTTGTACTTGGAGTCAATTGTGGGCGTAGTAACTACCCGGATCTGCTAGATTTATGATACACACATGTCAATGCATGACTTAGAGCGAGAGTTTTTTTCTGATTATGAAGAGTATCGTCGGCTTTCATGCTCGGCAGCATCGGTACCAGCCAAGCGGACCAAATCCCGATCATTTAAGCGTGAGCAGATACATTACGTATGGGATAATCAGTCAAGCCTAGGGTGGTGTAACCCAAGCCATTGAGACTTGAGTACAACAGGAATCATCCGCATTACGATACAGGAGTGCCTCCTCCTTGAGAGCGTGGTACCTATCCATTGGGATTACTTGAGGTACAAAGAAGCGAACTCGTAGAGCTTTTTGTTGGTCAAGCTCTGTTTGTGTAGTGGCCGGGGCCCCGATTACGTAGACGCCCAACGATCGATTGATCGCGTCCTTCGCTTCAGTCGCGGGATCCGCCGAGCGGAAGCCGTATTCCACACGAGGGTCTAGGACTGACCGTGTATGTGAGCGTATGAAATCTACCCTGTGGGCAACCTCAAACTGCTGCTCTTTTGCCTCGTCGTGGCGATTGGTAATGATACTACCCCTCCCGGAAGTCGAGAGGTCGGGAAACGGACACGGTGTCCGCAAGGTTCAAGCTGGGCTCACGTTGCGCCGTTGGCGCACGTCGCCCTCCTCTCCTTCCCACCCTGGGAAAGGAGTATCCGACTCGTAGTCAACTTCTTCCAACGTACGAAGAAAAAAAAATCCATCGCCCGCGGCGAGCGCGGTGTGCGGCGTCCGGTTGCCGAGTGGTTGGGATGCGCTTCCCTTTAAGCCGCGGAAGTACTGTCCGGAGTTGCACCGCGTGCAGTAGATGTAGACGGGCTCTGCCCGCGGGCGCTCTCAGAACTAGCGGGGCTAAGTGTTTTTTATATCATAGACGCAGAGCTCTTTGAGCAGGGATGCGTGAATACAGTTCTGAGGACGTAAAGGTGTCGTAGACACGCGAGCCTCTTACGAGGCGACAGATAAATGTGAATTTTGGGTGATCACAATTTCGATGGGGGGATGTAACGGGTAACACGTATTCTAGTATGAAGGGGTGGATCACACAAGATGGTGTGACCACACAATGGTGTGTCTACATCTAAACAAGAAGCTACTACGTGGCGGGACTGCCAGTAGTTATGCATTTTAATTAGGTTTACTATTTTATTAGGAAAACTTATAAATTTAGATACAGGCGGCTCTGTCGCACATAAAATAAAAGAGAAAAAGTTTGGATTTTGAACGAAAGAGTCGGTTAAAGTTTTGCGTACTCTTGGAGGTAGCGGATTGCGATCCGCTACACTCGTACTGGTTGTAGTATAGAACGTAAGGTCGGTGACCTTAGCTTATCTTTCGTTAAACAAAGAGCTAGTACAGCTCCGCTGCAAATTAGTCGTTACCAGCACTAACTTTGATGAACATTTGATTATAGTAAATGTCAATAATCATGGTGTTTGGTTACGAAATGTGGTACACCCCTCAATTATCATTCCAGATCACTTCTGCTGCTCTCAGGAGACTTTTATGATTTCCAGTCCAATCGTGACTGCTCTACTTGACGTTCTTGAGCTGGTGTGTAAGTATTTCAAATTTACCATTTAAGTCCTAGCCTATCATATCATCGACTGAGTACAAAATCAATCTTAGTGCATGTTAAAATGGAACGCCGTACCACATCTGTTATCAAAAGTGTCTTTGATGGCTTCAGTAGGTTCATCCGCTTCATACATGTAATCGATAGTTCCTTCCACTTGCGACAGTGTTGACACCAAACAGACTGTTTACTATTGTATCCATACATGCCATTTTAGTTTGCACACTTTGTGCACGAGTCATGTAGGAAAAATGGTGTTTTTGCTAATGCCATTATTTCCTAGCATGAGGCATTCGAAGTATCGCGGCCTTAACCGCAAAACGCTAAAGGCCAGACGGTTTTTAACCAATTATTGGTCTATAAGCTCCAGATCCGGTAAAGATAAAGATAAAACCCCAAAACTTCTTGACGCAGAATGAACATTTACGACAGCACAGCCTTGAACATTTAAGCTACTCAAGCGACCTATAGTAAAGATGGAGGCTACCATGCGCAAGTATAATT